GATGCTGGTCCCTACCAACCTGGAGCTTGGGTTGCCATGGCAATGCCAACTGCCCGGCCTTCTCTCTCCATCCCTCCAAAAAAAATGAAGAGAGATGGTTTTTGCAGTTGAAAAACCAACGTGGCTCATGCATGCCCATTTCTGCAGTGGGAAGGAGAGAAAGGAATAATGAAGAGTTGGACTAAGCCTCTCTGAATTGACATGCATTCTTCATATGTTTTAGCCTCCAGTCCCCTAATCATCTTGGTTGCTCTTCTCTGCACTCTTTCTAGAGTCTCCACATCTTTTTTACACAATAATGGCTTAAAATCATGGCCGGCTGATAGGGCACCGTATTTTTCCACATCGGAGGCTCGGTCCAACTTTGGCAACTTTAAACCTGGAGGACTTCAACTCCCAGAATTCCCTTTTGCTGGCTGGAGGATTGAAGTCCGCCAGGCGTAAAGTTGCCAAGATTGGAGACCCCTGGTCTACAGGAAAAAAGGCTGGCATGGACTTGTATTTCCTAGCATATTTACCTACTTATGAAAGCAGCCCTCCATACAGCAAACAAATCTACTTGTTGTGGTCCTCCAGCAGCCCGCGGACCTGGCAGCGGAGTCGGACAATGAGGAGGCTGGGAAGGACAATAGGCCAGTCCTGGAGTCTGGAGAAGGCCCAGACGAGGGCTCTGCGTCGGAGGCAGAGATGGGGCCAGGGCTATCTGGGAGCGATGCACGGACTCTGGAGCCTCCAGAGGCGGACAGCAGAGAGGCAGAGGAAGAGGAGGAGCCTGTTCCTAGTGTACGCATGCGAAGAGCTGCCAGAAGGCAAGAGCAGCTGAAGCAAAAAGGACGACTTGGAAGTAAGGCCAGGAAATGGTTGGCCAGTCCCATAAGGCTTAAAACAGCAGCAACAAGCTGTTGGGTTCTTTGTAGAAAAGCAACGTTGATTTCAGTGCTGCTTGTCAGCATCTCTTGAACTTTGTGGGGGTTTTGCCAAGAAAAGCCTTTGGCAGGTTGTCAAAGACATCCAAGGTTGGTGATAAGGCCAACGGCCTGGTTAGGAAGAATTTTATTTTGGACTAAGCTGAGAATGAATCAATTCTCAGCTGTTTTAATAAAATAAGTTTGTTCAGGACTGAATTGTGTTTGGTAATCACTACTTGGGCCTCCGTCACAACACTGTTTATTTATTTATTTGTTTGTTTGTTTGTTTGTTTGTTTGTTTATTTTATTTATTATTAAATTTATATACCGCCCTACTCCCAAGGGACTCAGGGCAGTGAACAGCCAAGAGATAAAACACACAGAATTACAAAATTTAAAAACAGTATAAAAAACTACTCTCCCGTTATTCCAAAGGTGCTTTTTTCAAGAGGCAATTGGATTTTCTGGGTTTTCTTTGAAGACGTTTCTGCTTCTCATCCAAGAAGCTTCTTCAGCTCTGTTCAGAAGCTTCTTGGATGAGAAGCGAAAACGTCCAGCTGCCTCTTGAAAATAAAGCACCTTTGGGACAACCTGGATGACTGAGAATCTCCATAGACATTTACTCTCCCGTTAAATTTCCCACAGTGCCACTGAGGGAAGTCTGATCTTAGAGGCCGTTGGGGGGTAATTTGAAAGCCAAGCAAAAAAAGCTGGAAGGCTGGAGCAGGAAAAGGGATGTCAAAGGAAATCAGGAAGGGTCTTTCTCAGGGCAGCTGGCCAAGGTGCTGATGTCAGTTCTGGTTAGGAAGACACCATTCAAATTCCGGCTTCATCGTGAAAGTTATGGAAGAATCGTAGCCAATCGTTGCCTCGCTCAGTTTTGATCTACCCCTTGCAAGGTTGTTGTGCAACATTACAGATTAATAGAGTTGGAAGGGACCTTCTAGGTCATCTAGTCCAACCCCCCCACCCATCCAAGCAGGAGACCCTACACAATTTCTGACACAATCTCTTCTTGAAAGCCTCCAGTGATGAACCTCCCACAACTTCTGAAGGCAACTTCTGTTCCATGGGGTTGATTGTTCTCACTGTCAGAAAGTTCCTCCTTATTTCCAGGTTGAATCTCTCCTTGTTCAGTTTCCATCCTTTATTCCTTGTCTGGCCTTCGGGTGCTTTGGAAAATAGCTTGACCCCCTCCTCAAATACTGGAATACTGCTATCATATCTCCCCTGGTCCTTCTCTTCACTAGACTAGCCATGCCGAGTATTTAACAGATTAATTGAGTTGGAAGGGACCTTGTAGGTCATCCAGTCCAACCGTTCCACCCAAGCAGGAGACCCTACACCATTTCTGACAGATGCCAGTCCAGTCTCTTCTTGGAAGCCTCCAGCGATGAAACTCCCACAACTTCTGAGGGCAACTTATGTTCCATTGGTTGATTGCTCTCAATGTCAGAAAATTTCTCCTCACTGACTGGGGAATTCTGGGAGTTGAAGTCCACCCTTCTGAAGGTTGACCAAGGTTGAAAACCCCCAGAATTAGTTCCTTCAAGAGAAATGAATCAAGCTGTAGTAATGTCCTACTAGTAGTGTGTGTGTGTGTGTGTGTGTACATATACACAGCTCATCAGTTTGGAACCCGCACTGCATATCAGACATTAATACAATTGAGCGCGTCCAGAGATATTTCACGAGAAGAGTCCTCCACTCCTCCGCTCGCAACAGAATCCCTTATGCCACCAGGCTTGAAATCTTGGGCTTAGACAACTTACAACTATGCCGCCTTCGGTCTGACCTAAGCGTAACACACAAAATTATCTGCTACAACGTCCTACCTGTCAATGACTACTTCAGCTTCAACTGCAACAATACACCAGCACACAATAGATACAAACTTAAAGTAAACCGCTCCAAACTCGATTGCAGAAAATACAACTTCAGCAACAGAGTGGTCAATGCCTGGAATGATCTACCCAACTCTGTGGTTTCTTCCCCAAACCCCCAAAACTTTAACCTAGACTGTCTACTGTAGACCTCACCCCATTCCTAAGAGGTCCGTAAAGGGGGGCGTGCATAAGCCCCCCCTGCATAAGTGCGGACCCTGTCCTACTGTCCCCCTTTTATTCGTATCCATTTCCTGTATTCATAATTGTGTTTATGTTTATATCTGTTATCTTATACGTGTTTGACAAATAAATAAATAATTTTATCAAGCAACCACCAATGAAAAGTAGGATTATTATGGGAGCGATTCCAACGTGATTGCAGTGCCACCTAGTGGTTGATCCTGCTGATAGGTTGTCAGGTTATTAGATCCTGTGCAGCAGCACTGGAGATTCGTCGCAAACACGTGTCTTCTCCACCATAGCAATGTTATATAACAATTGTGGCAAACCCTTTGCACTGCTTAGTCCTTTTCCTTTTAGCATTGAAACTACAACAGGCCACACAGTTTATGGATTGCAACTATTGTATAGTCCAGGGGTCTGCAACCTTAAACACTCAAAGAGCCATTTGGACCCATTTCCCACAGAAAAGAAAACACCGGGAGCCACAAAAACCCTTTCCGTGCCTGACTATTTTTTGAGCAGCCACAAAACTAGCATAGGTAGTCGAATTAAACGTTCTGTTTTCTTCTGAAACTTTTCTTTTCTTGGATTTATCCATGATTGACCTGCCGGGGGGTTGAAAAGCTCAATAAATTGTGTGCCGGCGGGTGTCGCACATTGGCGGTTGTGACGCATATTTTGAGTGACAGGGAGCCACAGCAGAGGGGTGACAGAGCCACATGTGGCTCCAGAGCCACAGGTTGCTGACCCCTGGTATAATCAGACCATGTATAATTGACACTGGATTTTATTATAGATTTTAGTTCTTATTTATTATTTTATACTTGAAGTTTTAAGTGTATATATACTGAGTGCTTTTATTTGTTCTGGTCTAAGACTGTAATAATAAATTGTTGTCGTTGTCGTGTTACTGCAGTATTTCACGGCAAGAAAAGTTGTCAAATTGGCAAAACTCGCTTAAGAAATGTCTCGCTTATCAACATAAATTCTGGGCTCCATTGTGGTTGTAAACTGAGGATTGGGCCCTGCTTGGGATAGGGGAGAATTGTCTCATGTATTCTTGGGGTGGTGGTGGGGTGGAGGAACTCACTGGCTTTATTATTTCCCCTACCCAAAGATTCTGGCAAGTTAAGAGCAATGGTGTTGTGGCCCGTCAGCACCCTGTGCAGCTAGTAGCTGATTTCGACAGCGAGGAGGCTGGTGTGGTGCCTGTGCAGCTGGCACTCAAGTCAGACAATGAGGAGGCTGGAGAAGATGTGGTGCCAGAGGTGGGGATTCAGCCAGGGCCTTCAGAACCTCCAGAAGCTCCCATAAGTGAAGAGGATGAAGAGGAGGAGCTTCTTCTCAATGCACGGGCACACAGAGCTGCCAAAAGGCAGGAGTGGCTCCTCAGGAGGAGGTCTCCTCGAGAGTAAGGCTTGGGGCTAATTGGCCACTCCCTTAGCCTATTTAAGGAGGAATGCCGACTGAAGCAATTTGCAGGGAACAACTTCGTTCACTCTCCTTTGTGCCTTGATCTTAGTTCTCTGCAAATTGCTTCTGGGCTTTCTGCCAACCATAGTAAGATTACGATTATTTATTCTTTGGATTCTTGTAGGTAGGCTGTTAATAAAGTTAATTAACAGCCTTTGTTTGTAAAAGACTGATTTAATTTAGGTTTGTATGGACTTTGTGTGTGCTGCGTTCTGTGGGGTCCGTAGCTGGGGCAGAATAAATGGGGGGGGTTGGACTAGATGACCTACAAGGTCCCTTCCAACTCGGTTATTCTGTTCTGTTAAAATCCTGCCAAAGGAAAAAACTAAGTTTTAATTGAAAATGGTTTTCCTTTTCTTTTTCCAATGATCTAAGTAAGTGCTTAGTTTCACTTTTGGCCTATCTCAAGATGAAAACACCAAAGGGGCCCCCACACACAGTTGCTGGTCGTCTTCTTTTCCAGCGGATCGTTGCAAATCCTTTCTGTTGCCGTCGTTGGCTCTTCTTCAGCTTCAACAGATTGCTTGAACAACTTGGCTCCTTTTCCAGAAACTCCGCGCGTTGTTGGGAGCCAATGTCATTCCTGCTCTGCCCACAGCTTCGGGATTCTAGGAAAACAGAACACCAAACAACTCCGAGAGGGGGGCAAAAGTTCCAGTGGTGAGTCTGGGTTTCTCTCTCTCTCTCTCTCCCTCTCTCTCTCCCTCCCTCCCTCCCTCCCTCTCTCTCTCTCTCTCTCTCTTTCCTGAAAACAGACAGAATTCCAGAGACGTCAGGGAGATGCAACTATTCAACAGATGCAAAATGCAACTTTTTTCAACAGACGCAAAATGTTGCAAAGGGCCGCTTGGGCTGCAGCGCCTTGTGGCACGTCAGCCGCCGTTCTTAGGGGAGGGGGTGAGATTGTCGAGCCACACATCCTCCAGCTGGACTTGTCTCTCTCTTGTCACGTCCAGCCCTTCAGCTCAAAAGCAGGTGGCCCAATGTCAGCCTTAAGGAAAGGCGCTGGCGAATAACCTTGCGAGACCTTGAGCATGCCGCGTTGCAGCTCTGCAAACTCTTCCCCCACCCCCGGGATTGACTCTAGCAGCCTCGTTGCAGACTTACAGAACTCTGGTTTCTGCAGGGAATTGAATTCCTCTGCCAGAGCAACAGACATGTAGCAAGCAAGATCAGTTCTGTCCTAGATTTTTTGCTCAGGGGGGTTCCAGATGGATGGTGAGCGGCATTCCCAACCTTGCAATAAGACTTGGTGTCTTTAGCAGCCCCAGACATCGTCGAAGTCCCTTCAGCTCTTCCTTGCAAGGTGGACATAACAGTCGAGTTTCCTGGGAAGGTTTCAGGAGGGGTTTGTTATTCGCCTACTTGCTGGAATTTTCTCCAACGCTGAGATCGCTTGTTTGTCTCCCGTCCAAATACTAACAAGGACAGGTGGTGGTACGGGCTAGAAGATTCAAGATCAGCCAAGGCCAGGTGGGTGCTGCCACCTGCTGGACTGGCATGAAATTGATACAGATACAGATTAACAGAGTTGGAAGGGACCTTGTAGGTCATCTAGTCCAACCTTCCACCCAAGCAGGAGACCCTACACCAGTGATGGTTAACCTTTTGCCCGTTGTGTGCCAAAAGTGTGGGGAACGTGAGGGGGGGGTTGCACGCACATGCACACCCATAATTCAATGTGCCCTGCCCCCCTTGTGCATGTGCACACGACCCCTCCTCCGTGCTCCCCCCGCTTTTGGCACACAATGGCACGGTAGGCACTGTAGGTCTGGTGTTTGCCCTCCCCAGACTCCAGAGGCTTTCTTGGAACGGTCTTCCCCACCGCCCACCCCCCGAAGGCCCTCTGGAAGCAGGAAACGGCTCATTTCCTGACTTCCGGTGGGACCGGAAGGCCCGTTTTTTGCTCTTCCCAGGGTCCAGAGGCTTTCTAGGAGCCTGGGGAGGGCATAAACGGCCTCCCCCCTCCCACCGGAAGCCTTCCGGAGGCCGGAAACAGCCTGTTTCCCGACTTCCCGTGGGCCCAGAAGGCTCGAAAATTAACTGGCTGACACGCGCATGTGCACTGGAAGCTGAGTTAGGGCATTGCTCGTGTGCCCACCGATATGGCTCCGTGTGCCACCTGTGGCACGTGTGCCATAGGTTCGCCATCATGGCCCTACACCATTCCTGACAAATGGCAGTCCAGTCTCTTCTTGAAAGCCTCCAGTGATGAAGATCCCACAACTTCCGAAGGCAACTTCTGTTCCATGGGTTGATTGTTTTCACTGTCTGAAAATGTCTCCTGATTTCCAGGTTAAATCTCTCCTTGTTCAGTTTCCATCCATAATTCCTTGCCTGGCCTTCGGGTGCTTTGGAAAATAGCTTGAGCCCCTCCTCTCTGTGGCACCCCCTCAAATATCGGAAGATTGCCATCATGTCTTCCCTGGTCCTTCTCTTCTTCACCAGACTAGCCATGCCCAGTTCCTGCAACCGTTCATCATATGTTTTAGCCTCCAGTCCCCTAATCATCCTGGTTGCTCTTCTCTGCATTTTTTCTAGAGTCTCAACATCTTTTTTAGAGTGTGGTGACCAAAACTATAATGAAATTCAAAAATGAATCGGTATGTGGTTATATCAGTCCATGATTGCAGTGAGGGAAGAGCTGCATTTATTTCCCAGTTTATTATTTCACCCCATTTCTAAAGCATATGAAACTTGAAGCCTCCAGATGTTCTTGGCTGTATTTCCCATTTCTCTATTACCTGAGCCTTGCTCAGGAGATTGGGGTTTGTAACAGTGGGGGGTTTCAATTTTTTTTACTACCGGTTCTGTGGGCGTGGCTTGGTGGGCGTGGTGTGGTGTGGTTTGGTGGGCGTGGCTTGGTGGGCATGGCGGGGAAGGATACTGCAAAATCCCCATTTCCTCCCAATCAGCTGGGACTTGGGAGGCAGAGAATAGATGGGGGTGGGGCCAGATAGAATTTTTACTCCCGGTTTTCCGAACTACTCAAAATTTCCACTACCGGTTCTCCAGAACTGGTCAGAACCTGCTGAGACCCACTTCTGGTTTGTAGTTGGACAATGTCTTCAGGGCCTGGAGTTCTGTATCCCTCTGCTTCTCCACTTCTTCTGCACCACAGCTCCTGAGCAGCATCACATTGCATGTTAATACCTGCTATGCCTTTCTGGCAGCTTTGATGTAGCTCAGGTAATCGACATCAAAGCCCAGGAAGCAACGGGGAGGAAGGGAAGCTGCCATGCACAATTGGTTGGTTCTTCTGAGTTGGGAGAAGATTCCCAAGGAAAAGTAAAGCATCGATAATCAGTTTCTCTTGGGGTTTCTCACTGGCTGGCCATATCTTCCCCAGGAGTAAAGACTCCACTGTGGCAAGTAATCATGATAGAGAAACCATGAGGGAGGAGGAGGAGGGAAGAGGGAGGAGGAAGAGGGGAGGAGGAGGAGGAGGAGGAGGAGGAGATGTTCTGTTTATAGAAGCTTTTGCTAAATCAAAAACTTATCCAAAATTGATGCATAACAATCAAAGGGTTTATCTGCTGAGGAGGAGGAGGAGGAGGAGGAGCGGGGGATCTGTCCATCTTCATGCTTCTGGTTGCACCGAATTATATGTTTGATTTTTCAAAATTCTAGTATGATTTAAGGAGACGCGCACCACATTATGGAAATTGCAAAGAAATTCCAGGTAGATCAATCTAATCTGTTAGATAGATATTTGACCAATGGGCTTCCCTCAAGACTCTTTTTCCTTCCCCCTTTTTTTTTCTTTTTCAGGTTCCTCATGAAAAAATTCTCCAGATAGTTTCTCCTTTCAATTTTCATTCATTCACTTTGAAAAAAAGATAAGTTATTTTTGAAATGCCATTTGGCCAACCTGGGGTTGAAAACCTCAATAAATCGCCTGCTGGCAGGTATCGCATATTGGCAGTTGTGACGCATATTTTGAGTGACAGGGAGCCGCAGCAGAGGGGTGAAAGAGCCACATGCGGCTCCAGAGCCGCAGGTTGCTGACCCCTGGACTAGACAGTCCTACTACACACGAACTCTATGTCTATATACATTTTAATTCCTTTGATCTTGGTCATCATAAAAGTGACCTTGTTCTTCGAAACCTTTATCCAACACTTTCTCTATCAATCAACATTATCTTGGGTTAAAGCGATTGTGGTTATCATAGCCTCCTCTGGTGCCAGGTGCCTCCGGTCGAATGTGCAAAAATATAATGACCCATGAATGATCCGAGAGAGATTGCAAGGGAAAGACCCTGAAATAACCTTCTTAAAGTTGCCAGCAGTTCTTATCTCAGGCTAACGGGAAGGTCTGAGCAAGGAAACATTTTTGGCAAGCGTCCCTGCACGCCTTTTTAGTCGCTGCGGCAAAAACACCGAGCAAAGCTCGCCGGCCACAAATGTGTTGCTAACGGCAGGATGTGGCTGCGGGTGCGTGCATTCCTGCACGTTAGCAAAATCATGACAGCTTTCCTCAGGGGAGGGAGGGAAGGAGGGAAGGAGTGTGGGAGGGGGGGAGGATAGAGTATCCCAGGCGGAACCTTTGAGTAAGGCTTGCCATGCCTGGAAGGAGGGGAAAAAAACGCACCAGCTGTCTGCCCGAGTGCCAGGGCCTTGGCACGGCGTGTGGAAAGGGAGAAAACAGCTGACTTTGCTGGATTTCAACAGGGAGAGGTTTGATGGCTCTGACCTGCAGGCGAGATCGGTCGGTTCTCCTTTGATGAGCGTTGAAGGCACTTACATAATCAAGGCAGCATCTTGGCCCTGCCTGCCTCGCAACTGCCTTTCTCAAAACTTGGAACAAGGCCATGGAAAACCCAGGAGAAACCAGGAGGAGAGCTTGGTCCTTCTCCTCCCTCTCCCTCCCTCTCTGGCTGTTCTACGAGCAGATCTAGAGCTTGGAAGAAGCAGAGCTAAGTATGCCAAGCCCGGGAGCCAATAGGGAGCCGAGCGCGCTGTTCTCATGGTTACCGCATCCCCGATGGTACCCGAAGCAAGGCTGTTCCCAGAGGTGGGCCTCGCACGTAACGATGCTTGCCTATCTCGGGCCTGCGATTGAGCAAAGAAAATGGTTGCCATCTTGGATTAGAGCAGTGTTTCTCAACCTTGGAAGCTTGAAGATGGGTGGACTTCAACTCCCAGAATCCCCCAGCCAGCAACGTTGAAGTCCATCCATCTTCAAGTTTCCAAGGTTGAGAAACACTGGATTAGACGATTGCCTCGAAGATACTCCGGTCTCACAAACTTGGATGGACTTCTTCTTCCTCATCATCCTCTTTTAATGACCCCATAATTATCGGGGTGGAGTCTGGGCAACTGAATGGAACTGAGTGTTTACTGGCCGGATACTCTTCCTGTCACCAATGTGGAGTTTTTTTTCAACAGATATATTCTCTCTCTTCTTTTTTTTAATTTTTTTTTTTTTATTAAATATACAGTTAAAAACATTAGACATAGTGCGACTCTTCTGGTTCAAACATTTCCATCAAGTTTTACCTTACAACAAATACAATTCATATTCGATATATAAATATGTACAGTCTTATCAAAATTCAGTCACATAAATCTCTTCGTTTGTGAAAATTACTTTCAATATCAATACAATTCCTACCTATCACATAATACTAACGTAATAATTTACCAACTCTCGACTTA